GAAAATTTTCAGAACACCCCTCAGTAGAAAGAAGTGGGCTCGTCGCCTACCCACGAAGCTTATCTGCATTACTCACCCCGCCTCTTTTGCGTAGCAGGAGGAAAGCAGCTGTTAGAGATCAGGGAAGGGGCGTGTCTGTGCATGTTAAACCAGCGCCGTAGGAGGGGCACGCGAATGAGTGTATTTACATGGAAAGACCCACCTCTCAGGAGAAGGCTGCAGAACGCCTACTCTCTGGGTTGCGGTATGACAAGCAAATTACTCATTTACATAGGAAAATCCTCCACACCACCCAAAACAGGGATATTGAGAAATGGCCACAGTCGGAAAATGTGGGTAAATTGGCACGTCAGTGATTTACATGACCACATTTTATAACGGACAGGAAGTGTATGTTATGTTCGTAAGGGAAAGGGTCACTGGAACAGATGTGCAAATGTCCTATCTGCATGACCTGCTCCGCCCTCCCCCTCAGGACAAATATGGGAAAATATGGGAGTCAGAATAAAGCAACCTAGACAGCTACGCAGAGAAGACATTCGAGTGAACAGTCCAGTCTCTCTGAACATTGCTCTGAGGTCTATAAGGGCCATTTTGAATGTCCACCCCCTCTGCCTACAACCAGGCAAAGTAAAGTGAGGCCGGTCTCAAGCATCCTTTGAGGGCTGGATACTGCTGACTTGGTGTGAGAGAGCTAGGATGGTCCTCTAGGGGCTGCACGTGTCCCTGGCAGGCCACGCCAAGGCACCAGCAATTCACCTGGGCACAGGCAGTGCACACCCTTCTCAAGTATGTACAAGATCCAGAGTTTGCCAAAAGCCCACAGCCCTGAAGGACACAAAGAGGGCACACGATCATACACTCTGAATAAAAGGGGGAAATGCACACCAACACATTCACAGGCAACAGAGACACAAATGCATAGGAATACATCACGGTACTGAGCCACTGCCCGAGATTCTGAGTTCAGACAAAGCAGGTACAGGCCTAGGGTTCACTCACAGGCCCAGACTCCCCTTCCTCAGCCTCAGGGTCGCACACGACAGCCTCACCAACACAATCACCAAGGACACAGAGTACTCACATATTCCAACAGACACAGTCCCACACACACAGGTACTGGGAAGACTCATACACATGACACAAACACAGGGACATAAGTGTCATGCATGTGAGTCTCAAGCACCCAGGTCACAAGTGTTCACACAATTTGACAAACTACTCCACAAATTAGACATCTGAACTATGGTGTATCCTCAAGGTGTCCCCACACCATGACCCATGCCTCCCATCCAGGACTTCTCCCCAGTGTCCCAAAATGACAAAGGCCAAAACACAGGTGTAAACAATGCTTTATGGGAGTGGGGTTTGGATGGGACAGGCCTCCAGGTAATAAATAACACGTACTCGCAACAGCAGGGCAAGGTGAGGCCAAATGGCCCTGGTCTCAGGCTTTGAGAGTTCTTGGGGTATGATTAGGGGTTCAGAGGGGACAGAGGTTAGCCAAGACAGAGGAAGCAGCAGTAGGTATGGGTTCCCCCTTCCCCCATGGCTCAGTCTTGCCCCAAAGCCAGGCCCCACCAGGCCAGGGAAGGAGGACAGGTGGCACGGCAGCTTCTCCGGGGCTGGGGTAGGTTGGGGCACGGCCTCCTGGGGCCTGGGTTTGGTCCCCAGCCGGAAGGCCAGGGCTGGTCCTGGAGAACAGATGAGCTGAAAGAGAAGGGTATAGTGACCTGAAGGGGTCCTCAGTCTGTCTAGCTGGTGTCCATGTCTCATTTCTGGGCATCTCCCCGACCTTCCAAAACTCTTCTACAAAGTTTCTACATAGCCTGGAGAGCTCTACCTCTGTCTCTGTCCCTATCTGCCACCCCAGCATATGTCCCTCCTTGCTTACCTCAGAGAGCAGAGTCTGTAAAAGGACATTTCAGTATCTAAATAGCATATCCCTACTTTTGTATCTCTGTGTCCTTCTACGTCCCTGATCACCCTGGCTTTAGGCCTCCTTCCAGTGTTTTCCAAGCTGGAGATACACATTAGATTAGTACTTTTTGGTTTGACTGCATATAGCATTATCTAGAAACTTCTAAAAATCTTGAAATTACTTCAAAATCTCTGGGGTAAAATCTGGGTATCAGTACCGTTTAAAGCTCTCCAGATGATTCCAATGTGCAACATTGCATAGGAAGGGAGATTCATTTCATGGGCCTTAGATAATTTCTTATTCAAATAGAGTAAAATAGAAAATGTTACAGTGCATCATATGTAATAAGAATATTGGTCGGCTGGGCACAGTGTCACATGCCTGTAATCTGGACATTCTGGAGGCTGGGGTAGGAGGATCATGGGCTACAAAGCAAAGCCCAGGTCATCAGGGCTACAAAGCAAGCTCAGGCCAGTCTGGACTACATAAGAAGACCCTGTCTCAATAAACTAAAACCAAGAAAAAATTGGTCAACAGAGACAGAAAGCAGAAGAAAGCAGAACAGTATTTGCCAGGGACTGGAGAAATGGCTATGCAGATTCTTTTCAAGGTAATGAAAATACTCCGGAACTAGACAGCGGAGGTAGTTGTACAACCTGTGAATGCACTAAATGCCACTCATTGAGCTTTGAAGTGATTAAATTTATGTTGTGACATTAACATGTCCCACTGGCATAAACCACTGGTGATATATGTAAGACTGTACCACCCAATGGGACCATCCCATGCCACCCTGTGGGATAATCATGGATGTACCACTAGTGGGACAAGCTGGTAGGAATATAATATGTTCAAATAAGAGCCGCCCAGGGCCAGGGATTTCACTGACTGGCACTGTGCCTGCCTTGCAAGTGCAATGTCTTGAGTTCAATCCCCGGAACTAAAAAAAAAAAGAAAAAAAAGAAATGTACACTCAAATAAGAGCTGCCTGGCAGCAAGACATACAAATTATGGTCCCATTGTGAATGTGTTCATCTCAACTTTTTTTTTTAAAAAAAAAAGACTACTGAGAGTAGGAAAACATGTTTGAGTTTTATATATGAGTGTGACTGTATTAGATCAACATATAAAAGTGCAATCAGCAGTCCGTAAAAGCACTGTCTTATTACATTTGACCCACTGAGATTCTCTGCTAAGATATACATCTTTCCATGTCTGCACAGCCTAGAGTCTTTAAGATGGACATGAAGGAATATAATAAACAGCCCTGCTAATTGAGTCTTTACTATGTTGGGCCCATTCTAAGCACTTTACATGAATTGATTTAACATTCTCAACACCCGTAAGAGGCAGCTACTGTACAACTTTTGGCCCCATTTTACAGATGAGGACGTGAAGGCCCAGGCACAGCACATACAAATGCCTAGTGAGAGAGCACTGTCCAAAGAACTTATCCTTGACCCACCCCCCAACCCTTCACATTCCATCAGGAAATCATGCTGGCTCTACCCTTCAAAGTAGATCCAAAGTCTAACCACTTCTCCCCACAGCCTCCCTGGAGCTGTAAAGGGCTGGGAGGGGGCTGGGCAGGAGGTACAGAGGGGAGAATTGGCGACAAACACACACCACGGAGGTGGGGAGGAGACCACATCCTGCAGGGTCTTGTAGGCCTGGAAAGGTGTTTCGGTGAAGCATGGAAGAACACGGCTTCCTGGAGGAGGAAGGGGGTTACCAGGGCAAAGAGAGAAGGAAGTGTTCCAGGCAGAAGGCACAGCGTGAGCAAAGACCACAGAGGAACAAGTCCAGTATGGCAGGAGCAGCCTAGGGGTGGGGAGAGGTGTGAGGTGAGGATGAGGTGGCTGCAGGAGCTATTTCCTGCTGAGTCCAATATCAGGCTAAGCAGCTTTGGTTGGGTCCCAGGGACCCTGGGAGCCATGCACGGTTTTAACAGTGAGGGACGGGAGCAGATTTGCATTTTAGATCCCTTGGCTGCAACAAGACGGGACAAGACTAGAGCTAGAAAGCCCAGGCAGGAAACAATCTATCCATGGCTCGACCCCTCTGGCCCACCCCAGGCTGTCCACCGTCCTCTACTGCCTTGACTTTGCAGCAGCTCCTTAACCAGTGTCCCCGCAAACACCATTCCTCCATCTCTTTCCTAAATGCAGCCAGGGAGTCCTTGTGAATTCTTGAATCCAATCCCCTCCCTCCTCTGCTCAGAAGCCTTCTATGGCTCCCATCCTGGCCTAGGCCTAAACCAGAGTCCTCCCCAAAGCCACAGGCACTATGTCCTGCTAAACCCCTAGCGCACATGCCCTCCACTGCAGCCACAGAGACCTCCTTGATCTTCCTCGTCCACACTAGGTGGTGCCTCCCCCAGCCTGAGTGACCTCTCTCACCCAGGGCCTTTGCACTTGCTCTTCTGTCTAGACTGCTTCTGCCCCAGATGCCCAACAATTCCTCTTCTCCCTCCGTCAGGTCTTTGCTCAGATGTCGCCTTCTCAGTGAGGCCTCCCTCATCATTCTGTTTAAGAGTACTACTCCAGCCGGGCGTGGTGGCGCACGCCTGTAATCCCAGCACTGGGGAGGCTGAGGCAGGAGGATCACTGTGAGCTCGAGACCAGGTTGGGGTACACAGTGAGTTCCAGGTCAGTCTCAACTACATAGTGAGACCCTGTCTCAAAAACCAAAAAAAAAAAAAAAAAAAAAAAAACGACACCACCAGCCTGACTCCATTTTAATTTTTCTCCATAGCTCTTAGCCTAACTAGTATATAATTTACTGGTGTCTTTCTTTTTAAGACTGGGGATTAAACCCAAAGCCTCCATACTGAGCTATATCTTCAGTGCTCCACTTCCCTTTTTATTTTTTATTTTGAGACAGGGTCTCATTAAATCATCAAATTGTCCAGGCTGGGCTTGAACTTTCAGTGCTGCCTCAGCCTCCCAGAGTGCTGGGATCACAGGCATGCACTACCACACCTGGTTTATTTACATGTCTTGTTTATTGTGTTTCCTCCCAAGAGAATGGTGCCTCCAGGAGGGCAGGGTTTGTCATCTGTTTTACTCACTGCTGTCTCCCCAGAGCCTTGAACAGGGCCTGGTACACAGTAGGCATTCAACGAGGGATGGGAGGATCAGGTGCAGAGCCAAGGGCTGGCAGAGAGGTCTGGGGCAGAGAAGGTAGCTGAGCCTCCTGTGGCTAGGAAGATGGCTCCTTTGCATCTTTTGCTCTCACTGATTCTGGATTCTGAATTTTTCATATGAGTGTCCACTCCATGCCCCTCTTCCCAGAACACAAGTCCTGCCTCCCCGAGACCCCAGTGTCCCACCTGGCTCTGTAGGTCTCAGCAGCCGCAGGGCTGAGGGGCCACGGCCTGGGCGCTCCGAGGCTGCCGCAGCTGGCGGAGGGAAGCGTCGCCATACTGGATGCCTGAGCCCATTCTCTCAGGATCCAGCTCACCTGCACGCAGGGGGAGAGTTCAGGGCCGGTTCCACCGAGGCCCTGGTGCCCCGCCTTCCACCTGGATTGGCTGCTCAGTGGGCCTCACCTGAGTCGATCTTGTTGAGGATGGTGCGGGCGCACTTCAGGAAAGCCTCCTCCACATTCTCTCCTGTGAGCGCGCTTGTCTCCAGGAACATGAGCTCTGGAGAGGCAGGGGCTCCGTCAGTCCCTGTCCTCCATTCCCACTCGGGTCTGCAAATGCTTCAGCCACCTTGGCCTCGCGTGGGGCCTCTGCAAAAGCTGTGGCCCTGCAGAGAATCCTGTCCCCCTCCATGCACTCCCTGGCTCGTCCTTCTGGGCTCAGTGCACAGGACCCCTTCCCGGAACGTCTTCGCGGACCTCCTGGCCTGGGTCAGGGATCCCCCTCGGGCTCCCACAGCCTCCATTGCCTCCCTCAGGTGACCATGACCTCTCTGGGCTGTTACTGTCTGTCAGTGAACCTGCGCCTTCAGTCTCACCCTTTGCACTGTGAGCAACACAGGGCTGTCTTCGTCACTGGGTCCGCAGAACCATCTAGCACAGCCCCCAGCTTACATGATAAGGTCTCTCAGTTGGTAACTTACAGTCATGACTCAAACCCTCTGGGAGACAGGAGCACATCCCAAACCAGAAGATGTGGCTGGTATCGCAGCACAGTGTTTTCAAATGAGTTTATGCTTGCAAACTTTCCTGTGTGTGGGTGTGTGTGGGTGTGTGTGTTACTGGAAATTGAACCCAAGGCCTTGGCACTGAGTACAGCCTCAGCCTTTTCTTTTTTTTTCTTTTTTTTTTGGTACTGGGGATCCAACTTGGGACCTCTGAGCTAAATCCCCAGCCCTCATTATTTTTTGTTTTGTTTTGTTTTGTTTTTTGGTACCGGGGAACAAACTCAGGACCTCCTGCTTGGGAGGCAGGCAGCGGCAGCACTGAGCTAAATCCCTGGACCCCTCATTAATTTTTATTTTAAGACAGAGTCTGGCTAAGTCACTGAGTTGCCCAGATATGCCCAACACTTGCAATCCTCCTGCCTCAGCTTCCCAGAGTGCTGGGATTAAAGGCATACACCACCATGGCTGGCTTATGAACCTCAACAAGGCCTATCAGTCCTTTCCTTGCCTTTTCCCCTGAGATCCACCCCATACATCTCTCTTCTTCCCAAAATGTGCCAGTCCCTAGGCCATCTGAGTCTGCCACTTCTACCTTAAGCCGATACCCAGCACAGCATCCCCATGGTGGTAGATACTTCTCACCGGCCAACATTCACCCCGTGTCCTCTCTTCTGGGGGCTTTCGATGACTTCCCTAACCAGGTAGAAACACTGTTATCCCCACTTTCCAGTACAGGAAACTGAGGACCAGAGTGGTCATACAGCTCAATATTCAGATTTGAGGGGGCCTCTGAACCCCCATTTTCAGGGCACCATGTACCATTCCACGACTCCGCCCCCGCCCAGCCCACAGCACGGCCCTCACCGTTCTCCTGGGCAAAGCGAGAGGCCTCCAGGAAAGTGACCTCGCGCTCGGGGTCCAGGTCCTTCTTGTTGCCGCAGAGGATGACCACAATGTTGGGGCTGGCCAGCGTGCGGGCGTCAGTCAGCCAGGCAGCCAGCGAGTTGTATGTCTCCCGGCTGTGGAGGAGGCACACAAGTAAGGCAGCCCAAGAGAAGGGGCCCCAGGCCCTGCCCCAACACCTTGCACCCACCTCGTGATGTCGTACACCAGCAGGGCTCCAGCTGCCCCTCGGTAGTAACTCCGTGTCACCGACCTGTGGGGCCAGGGGGACCCAGTCACCCCCAAGGCTGGGTTGTGCCCCGAGACTGCCCCCCTCTGCGGAGAGAGACTGGTGGTTCGCAGGCCCCCCTTTCATTGCTGGGCCATCCCCCAAAACCTGCTCTTAGTCTGGGGGACACAGAATTTCTCCCCACCCCATGGTCCCTCTTTTTTTCTCTCAATTTCTACTTCCCTCCCTTAGTTGTCTGTCTGTGACTCTCTTCGTGTCCCCGCCTTCTTGTGTTTCTGCATTGGTTTATTTCTTTCTCTGTATCTCTCAAGTGTCTATCTTTTCTTCCCCGCCTTTGGTTTTTTGAGACAGGGTCTCACTATGTAGTTTAGGCTGCCCTTGAACTCACAGTGTAGCCAAGGCTGGCCTCGAACTGACAGCAATCCTCCTGCCTCAGCCTCAGGGGGGCTAAAATCATGCATTGCCATGCCAATTCCAGCCTCTCCCCATCTATTAAATTTTTAAAATTCAAGATAAGATATCACTAAGCTGTTAAGTTGCCCAGGTTGGGCTCAAACTTGTAATACTCCTGCCTCAGCCTCCCAGAGTTCTGGAGTTATAGGCAAGCACCACCACATCCAGCTTCTTTTCTTTCCCTTTCTGAATGTGTCTCATTTTCAAATTTCTCCTCCTTCTGTTTTAGGATCCCTTTCCAACCCTTTTTGTGGTGCTAGGGTTTGGACTAAAGGGCCTGTGCATGCTAGGCAAGCACTGTACCACTCAGCTATAACCACAGTCCCAAGCCTCCTTTTCTCTCTCTCGTCTCTGTCTTTCTTTCTCCCTCTCTCCTTGGCTGTATGTACCTCCCAACCAAGTCTCTATCTCCCTCCCTCCCTCTGCCTCTGCTATCCTCTCAGTGCCTCTGCTCCGAGGAGATACACACATCTCTCTCTCCCCTCCTTCCCTCCTCCCTCCTTGGGAGCCCAGCCCACCTACCGAAACCGCTCCTGGCCAGCAGTGTCCCAAATCTGCAGCTTCACAGTCTTCCCGCCCACGTTGACCACTCGGGATCCAAACTCCACGCCAATCGTGTGGTTAGAATCCTGTTTGACTAAGAGTGCGAAGAAAAAGGAGAGAGGAGGCCATGCAGAGGCTCAAAGGACCTCCACGCTCCTCGGCCTCCTTTGTCTCTACCAGCCCATGCTTGATGCTGGGGTGACTGAAAACCAGACAGAGCATGAGACAATGCAAGAACCACACCACCTTGCTGGACTCGCCTCACTAGCTGCCCAGCTGCCCCACTGCACAGCCACGTCCACAGCTCGGTGTTCCCAGGACCAGTGCCAGAAACTTACACTTATTCTCAATGAACTGATGAAGGAGACATGATTTGCCTGTTCCTGCACTGCCAATCACCAGGAATTTGAACAGGAAGTCTGAACCGATGTGGCCAAAATCCAGGATGCCCATAAGGAGATAAAGATAGAGAAAAAAAGAGGGGAAACAAGAAAAGTTAGAGGGAGACAAACAGACACAGGTAGAAACAATGCCTTAAACGACAACAGTAATAGATTACCTTTTTTTTTTTTTTGCAATGCTGGGGATGGGACCTAGGATGTTGTGCATGCCACGGTACACAAAGTGCTCTGCCACCAAGCCACACCTCAAGCCCAAGATTTTTCTTCAATGTATAGCACGTGCCTCAGGCACAGTTCTACATATCTTTACTTATATCAATAGTTCGCTTACATCTTCAGGAAAACTCTAGGGGGCAGGTATAGTAAAAAATATTCCCACTCTCCAGATAAGGAAACCCAAGGCCAGACAAGCCGACTTGCCCAGGGTCACACAGCTAGGAAGATCAAATCCAGACCAAAGCCCTCCAGACTCCAAGATCTTAGGTAGTATAATGCTAAAGCCTCTTCAAGCCATTTAATCAAGGACAACAATCTAGCTTCTGTCCATCTTCACTTTTCCCACCACCCTCACTATCCACTGGGCTGTGGTCCCTGGCCTTCAGTCTCTTCCCTGAAAATGACAAACTGACTACCACCTCAGGATCTTTGCACTTGATCCCTCTGCTTTTCTGTATTTGTTGAATGAATGCAGCTCCCTCTGATTCCTACAGAACTCTGATTCCTACAAGAGCTTTCTACCGCTCCCTGGTACCGAACATCCATATTGATTTTCTAATTCCCAACCTTTTCTTTCCACACTCTGCCAGATCCTTGATCCCTGTTCTCAATCTTAAACCCCACTCCTCGACACCAAGTCCCAATCCACATCCAGGGACAACCCACCCCAACCCCATTCCAGACCTCTTCAGCCAAATCAGCCCAAGGGGCCAGAACACTCTCTTGGGTTCCCATTAGCTGATCAAGCACGACCCCTGCATTGAGCCATCCCCTCCCCTTTGACTCAGACTCCGCCCCAACACATGAAGGCCCACCTCTTCACTCAAAGCCCGCCCTGAACCATCAAGGCCGACTCCCTCCGATCCCGCCCACATCAGTTTCACCCACGCACCAGACCCTCAGGCTCCACCCAAATCGATAAAGCTCAGCCCCAGACTCACGAAACCCCACCCAGCATCCACTTAGGCCCTGCCCCCATAGCAGAAGACTCCGCCCCCTGGCATAAGACCCCGCCCCATTCCCCACAGTCCGCATCTTCTGGGCCCAGACCCCAGCACCCAGCGTCGGCCCACCCTCTCACCGTAGGTCTCTGCCATGACTCGGTTACGGCCGAAAAGGGCCGCAATATGGCGCCGCGGCCGCGCCTGCTTCTCGGCTGGCAGCCGCTCCACTCAGGCTGTAGCCCCGGTACCTTCCTATTCCCGGACCCGGCGCCGCCACTTCCGCCTCCACCCCCAGCTCCAGCGCGACCCGCTAGAGCTGCGGGACACCGAGACACGCTTTCTGAAGGCAGGATTGGTGGACTCGGCCGGCAGGAGGTGGGACGAAAGGAACGGATTGGTAGGGTGAGAGGGGCGGAGCAGAAAGGGGCGGGGACAGTACAAGGGATTGGCGAAGCGAGTGGGAAGAGGCGGTACAGAGACGCTCGGTCCAGCGGAGGAACGGATCTGGTCAGGAGTCCGGGGCACGGTAGAGACTCTGCATTGGGTAGAAGCAGACTTGGGGGAGGGGAAAAGAATGCAAAAAGGGGTAGGGCAGGATTGACAGAGTTGGAAGAGAAGCAGATCTTGAGCTCGTGGATGCGATTTCTGACCCTAAAGAGAGGATGGAGGAAAATTGGGAGGATATGCGCAGGTTGCTTCCCACATCCCTCTGCAGATATTCTCCAAGAAAACCTGAACACTAGTGGTGTACGCTTGTAATCCCAGCACTTGGGAGGATGAAGTAGGAGGATTGCCACAAGTTCGAGGCCAGTCTGAGCTATAAAGTGAATTCAAGGCCAGCCTGAACTACATGGCTAGACCATGACTCAAAAAAAAAGAAAAAGAAAACCGAGCGTGGTGGCACACGAGTTCGAGGACAGCTTGGATTACATACATAGTGAGTTCAAGGCCAGCCTGAGGTATATACATAACAAGACCCTGTCTCAAAAAACAAAACAAAAAAAAAGAACAAGAAAGAAAGAAAGAAAAACTGCGCTGAGATTTATGTTCTCATCGTCCTGCTGGCTCATTCCCAATAGTTCAACACTCTCTCATTGTGTACAGAGGTCACCACAATTTCCCAGCCGGGCTGTTTAGGCCAATCCATATTGTCCAGTGCTTGTGTCACAGATCAAAGGTTAGGAGCCTGACCAGGGGTACCCAGCCTGGAGCAAAGAGCTTTTTATAAATGAAATTCTGCCTAGCCACCTCTGACGTTAACATATTGAGGGGGTTGATTGGCTAGGTTAAGGAACCTAACCAACATTTCCTTTGTACATTCGCCCCACCCCAAAAAACACAGAGACCAAGTTTGCACTCAGTGTATTTGCATAAAGCCAGGAGGGAAACTGCAGAAGAGTGGTAGGCAGAGCTCACTGGCAGTAGAAATCCCATTTCTGAAAAACAAAACAGTGAAGAGAAAATGGGTGGTCACAGCACAACAGATCCAGTAGTTTTCACTGTAACTTCAGAGGCCAAGCTTGACCACACAAGAACTATGTAGATTAGCCTAACACACTCTAACTTTGCACCTCCCAAATAGACTTTTTAGGAATCACTTCCCATTTTACAGGTGACAAAAGTGAAGCCTAAGAATTTGAGCACAGACAGGAAGGCCAGTCCAGAGCCAAGATCAGGGGCCCCTTTGCCTGTCATCACAAGCCAAATATCTTCCCTCCAGAACCCTGCCACCCTCCAGGACACTTACATCTGTCTTCACGTCAGTTTTGCCAGGTTTCAGAGTCTGGCCTTCGCGAACAATGCTGCTGGGAAAATAGCCTAATCGGGCCGCCTGGTCTCCGTAGTAATCTCCCTGAACCTAGAGGAGTTAAAAGCCAGGTCTGGGAAGATGGCAAGCTCATTCTTCCTCAAGGTCCCTAAATTATCTCCTCTCCTGGATCTCCATGCCTAGCTCTATCCTTGTCATTCAGATCTCAGTTTACCACCTGTTCAGTCCCTCCTTAGGCACTCCAGTAGTTACCCCACAGTTGCCTGGTATGCCTAAGACCCTGAGTTCAATCCCCAGCACTGCCAAGAAATAAAATAAAATAACCTAGCTACTCTAAAGTTCAGGGAAACATATATTTGCATATGTTTGTATGCTACTGGAGGCTGAACACAAGGTGTTTCCAGTGGGCTACATCCCCAGCCCCTTTTAAAATTCTCAGACAGGGTCTTGATAAATTGTCAAGGTTAGGTTCAAACTTTCAATCCTCCTGCCTCCAGCCTCGCAGGTCTCAGCCTCCTAGAGTGCTGGGATTCCAGGCATGAACCATTACACCCAGTTTATTTGCTGTTATTTATTTTGGTGCCAGGGATTGAACTCAGGTCTTTGCCCTTATGAGGCAGGCAGCAGCACCACTAAATCCCAGGTCCCTACTTGCTATTTTGATGGCTTATTGCTTGTCTCCATCCATTAGAATAAAAGAGTTAGTTTGTTGTATTAGTCTCAATGTGTAAAAAAGAATTTGGCACCAAGTTGCCATTTACTGAACAAATTAAAAAATAGGGCCAGGAATTTAGCTCAATGGTGCCAGCACCTGCCTGGCAAGCGCAAGGTCCTAAATTCAATCCCCAGTACCGGGAAACAAATAAAATAAATAAAAATAAAAAATAAATTAGGTTACAAAATAGTCCTTCCCCCAAACATCACTATTTTAGTTTAACCCCCTCCAACTCCCTTTCAGGAGCGACACAAGTTTACTCTCAAGAGTGCCCCATAGCTTTCCCTTTTTTCCCTCTCCCAGGACTCACACTGCCTCCCCAGAAGAGCTGCCCTCGGCCCTTCAGCTTGGAGAAGACATACACAATTTGGCCACTGTGTATAGTCAGGAAACGGCAGTCGGGAGCCACATAGTCTTGAAGGGCCACAGCCACTGAAATGGGGTCTGCAGAAGTAATAAAAGGGAAGAACAGCACCCCACACGCACACCAGCAACCCCAGCCCCCAGCTCCCCGCTCGCCTCTTACAACTGCATTCCTCATCAGCACACAGCTTCCGGTCAGCCAGCTTGGGCATGAGGCGGCCTGCCCCACTAGGTCCTGGGAGAGCAGACAGCAAGACGATGGCACCGAGGAGCACTGGGGAGCACGCCATCATGGACTGTGAGCGAGAATGACCATGTGAGGAGTAGGGGCTCTCATTTCCTCCTGCTCCCTCTCTCCAGAGGCACAAGGAAACCTGTGTTCTCTTCTTGTCTCCGCCCAAAACCAGTCCCAAATTTCATCCACACCATCTACAGGCTGCTATCCAGCCAGAACCATTTCAAGGACAGGGTGAGGGCCATCCATCCAAGGAAATACACAGATAGACCCGGGGCAACCCAAGCAACTCCAGGGGACAGGCACCCCCTCAACCATTAGAGGCCCAGACAGGCAGTTTGAGGTATTTGATTCCATCTTCTCTTGAGTCAGCTTAGTTATCCGGACAGCCCCATTCTCCCCTCCTGGGACAGAACCAGAGGAGCTGGTAGGGAGAACCACCTTGGAATTTCCTGTGCTGAGGGACAGAACAAGGCAGCCTTTTGATTACCAGAATTGCCCCAGCTCTCAGGTACCAGATGAATATTACACATTATGCCCAGCTCACTTCATCCCCTGGGGACTTCCTGAGGCAGGACCAGCAATTAACTGTGCCCCGCTCCTCTCACAGCTTCACCCTCCTCATCTGCAAAATGAGGCTAATATTAAAGGCTCATGGTTACAGTGCATTCACTAAAATCTTTATTCTATTAATTCACATGGATATTGTTCATCGCCTTAGGAGGGGCCACTAAATAAACTGAAGGGCCAGGTGCAGTGGTGCATGCTTGTAACCCCAGCACTCAGGAAGCAGAGGTAGGATCTCCACCAGCTGGAGGTCAGCCTGGGGTATACAATGAGTTCAGGGTCATCCTGAAGTACACAGCTGGACCCTGCCACACCCCATTCCCCAAAAAAGAAAAAAAAAATGCAAGGCCAGCTTGAATTACAATGAGATTCTGCCACAAAAAATAAAATTTTGGGCCAGGGACTTGGCTCAGTGGTTCCACCGCCTGCCTTGCAAGCACAGGGACGCGAGTTCACTCTCTGGTACCAAAAATAAATAAATAAAATTAAAATAAAACTTTTAAAAATTATATAAAGACCTAAGAAATTTATCAACGTGGGCTTTATTTAGCTTCTGACAATACATACAGATTTATGTATACGAATTTTGAAAAGCTCGACACTAATCAGCTATCAAGTGGTGGTTATTTTGAGCCAGGCATAGTGGCACATGCCTGTAATCCCAGCACTTGGGGGCGCTGAGGCAGAACTGCTGTGCATTTGAGGCCAATCCGGATACATAGCAAGACCTTGTATTAAAAAACAAAACAAAACAATTCTGAGCTGAGTGTGGTAGTACTGCCTATAACCCCAGCACACTGGGAGGCTGAGGCAGGAAGATGGCAAATCAATCCCACCCTTGGCAACTTGACGTAAGATGCTGTCTCAAAATATTAAAGGACTGAGTTTGTAACTCGGCGCAAAGGCCCGAAGTTCAATCCCCAGTACTGGAAAAAAGAAATTCTGGCCAAGCAAAGTGGTAGTCTGCCTGTAATCCCAGCAACTCAGGAGGATGAGGCAGGAGGAACCCAGCCAGCCAGAGCAATTTAATGAGATCCTGTCTCAAACGTTAAAAAAAAAAAAAAAAAAGAATCAACTGGGATGTAACTCAGTGTAGAGGGCTTGCCTAGCATGCACAAAGTCCTGGATTTAATTCCCAGTACCCAAAACAAAACCAAAAAAATACTCTATTTTAGACATAATTATGGCATTGTGGTTTTTATAGTTTCGAGAAATAGAGTTGAGCTCTATACCAGATGTCTATTTGCTTCAAAATAATTTAAAAATTTGGAGAATGAAGACTGAATGCTTGAAAAACTGGCCACAAGGTGGTAAGTGAAGTTGGAAGAAGGAAATATAGGGGGTCAGTGTGTTGGTGTCTTTTCATAAATGTCTGAACTTTCCACTTCATTTTTTAAAATTATTTTATTCAATAAATATTATATATACTATGCTAGTCACTGATCTCAGTGCTGGAGATTCATCAAGGAATAAAAATTGAAGACCTCTGACTAGGTGTGGTGGCCCACACCTCTAACCCCAGCATTTGGGAGGCTGAGGCAAGACTGCCAGTTTGGAGACCAGCCTGAGCTACACAGTGAGTTCAAGTTCAGCCTGGGCTACATAGTATGTTTAAGACTACCCTGAATTACACAAAAAGACCTTATCACAAAAAACAAAACAAACAAGTAAAATTGAAGACCTTTGGTGGGGAAGATAATCAGTAAAAAAAATCACATATAGGCCAGGAATTTAGCTCAGTGGCACCTGGACTGCTTGGCAAGTACAAGGTCCTGAGTTTGATGCCGTGCCAAAAAAACAATAAAACACATATACGAGAGTGTGTTACGTATCAGAAAAGAGGCCAGGCATGTTGGGCACACCTGTAATCCCAGTACTCTTGAGATGAGATGGAAAGACTGCTGTGAGTTTGAGGCCAGCCTGGGTTATATAGTGAGTTCAAGACCAACTTGAACTACATCTCAAAAAACCAAAAAAGGAAAAGAGAACACACTCCATATATTATCTGTGGGGAACTGTGGTGCCCCCACCGTTGAAGAAGTCATGTTAAAGAAATGAGTTCATTTCCCAAAGTCCAACCTACTTATGCATCTCTGTATAATTATTCCAAAATGTAGGAGCTTAAAGCCATTTAATCATCAGCATTTATGTGGGTTAAAAATCTGGACCCAGCTGAGTGCCTCTGGCTCAAGGTCTCCTTCCAGGCTCCAATCAACTTGTCATCCAGGGATGTAGTCTCACCTGAAGGCTGTACAGGGGAAAGATCTTCCAAATGCTCAGGCAGCTGCTCAGTTGCTTAGTAAACAGGACCTTGGGCCTCTGACCTCACTGCCTGTGGGCTGCAGGCTTCTCTTTAGCTTCTTGCCCCATGTATCTCCATAGACAGCAACAGGCAGCTGGCTCCACCAAAGTAAGAAATAAACCAGTCTTTGTAATACTGTCATGGGAGAGATCATTTCTGCTGTACAGTAACCCCCAACCCACGGCTTCACGTTGTGATTTGTTACCCACAGCCTAAAAATATTAAATGAAAAACTCCTGAAATAAACAACTTGTTTTGAGTTCATGCTATTCAGAATAGTGACAAAATCTTGCCCCACCCCACTCATCTACCCTAAATAAACTAGCCCTTTGTCCAGCATACACGCACTGTATATACCACCTGCACGTTATTATTAAGTAGCCATCTCATCAGATTGACTGTGGGTACACCCCAAGGGTGTCGTCACGTCACCTTTATTTAAACAATCCCAGGGCCGGGAATTTAGCTCAGTGGTTCTGCTGCCTGCCTCACAAGCACAAGGACCCGTGTTCCATCCCTGGTACCTAAATAAATAAATAATCACAGAACTTAAGGATAGTGATGCTGCCAGTTCATATATGCTGAAAAGTTATAAAAATCGTTTAAAAAGTAGAAAAAAATCATTCTGCAAATGAAAAAGTTAACATTTTCAACTTACTAAGGAAAGAAAACAATCACAGGCTGAAGTTGCTAAAATCTAGGAAGAATGAATCTTGCATCTGTGAAATTGTAAAGGATATCGTGCTGGTTTTGCTGTCACATCTCAAACTGTAGAAGTTCCAGCCTTGGCATGTAACAAATGCTTCATTAAGATGGAAAAGGCATTTATAAGGCTTGATACTATCTGTGGCTTCAGGCATGTACTAGATGTCCTGAACATACCCACTGCAGAAAAGGGGAGACTGCTACAGCCATCTGAAGTGGGTCACTAGGTCCATATCTTAGATTTTCTAAGACTGAATACAAGAGGGTGACTTTAGAAGCCATCTTAGAGGCCTCCTGCCACAACCAAATGTCAAGTATGGTACAGAGGGTGGCAACAGCAACTTCCAGAGCCTGCCCTGTGTCCCCCCTCCTCCATACTGCAGCCACACAAGCAGGGCTACCACAACACACAATTTTATTATACTGGAGTGAATGATATCCCCTGGAGTCTTCCTTCTTCCTAGTTCAAACACTGAGCTCACTCCCACCCCAGGACTTTGCACTTCTATCAGATGTTCACAAGGCAGGCTGCTGTAGGTTTTGGAGTTCAGCACAAGAGTCACCTCAGCTCTGTACTTCCCTGACCACTCTGTAATGCTGCCTCTCCCAATTTTTTTTTTTTTTTTTTTTTTTTTTTTTTTTTTTTTTT